TTACTTGGGGTTGGGTATATTTTTATATGTATAGTGGATACTTATGTCTTTTCCAAGATCCGTATTCTCATTCTTTGCTCATTTTTTCCATTGTTAATCTTTTTCCTATTGATTTTTATTTATGAATGACATAGATATTAATATTTGGTGTGTATATATATATTTTTTTCTCTAATACCCTCTAAGAGAAGATTTCCCCTCAGATTTTATGGGTTTATGTGGCTTTTCATAATGCACAATGATTACATGTTTTTTAGTTGCCCAAATCTGTTGTTGCTTTTTTTACTTCATTTTTCATTTCTGACACGGGTGTCATCAGATTCATTATTTTAAAGGATAACAAAGCTTAAATACCTCCAGAGAGGGAGTGCCAGTTGCCATCCAGGTAAAATCCAGACCCCTCAGTCTATTACACACCATATTCCTTTCTCACCAAGGCTAGTCATATTGACCTCCTACAACTTCCAAACTCAAGCTCTCTGTTCTTGAAAGTTTGGTTCCTGGTTTGTGAAGCGAATGGGTTCAGGGGTCAACAGATCCGAGGTAAGATTCTGACTCAACCACTGACCAACAGAAGAGCTTTCTGAGCCTCTGCTTCTTCATATTTAAATTGAGACAAAATTAATGTGAGATTAAACTATGAATAATGAATAATAGTGATTGACATATAATTGGCATTTAATAAATATCTTCAGCTAAGCCCTCATGTTTTTGCTCACACTGGGAAATCTCTCTGGGATACCCTTTTCTTCTTTTCCACCTCACAATACTTTACCTACTCTTCTGGCCCAGTTCTACCCACACTCCTTCACAAAGGCTTTCATAGAGCTTACCATGTCCCTTACTCAACTTGGGTGTCTTATATTGTAATGTTTTAGATGAAGCTAATCAGCCAGGTTATGAGCTTTGGGAAGGCCTAGCCCAGTGCTCAACACTTACATGCATCTAATAAGTATTTGTGGAAAAGATAAATACATGAATAAAGAATGCATGAGGTATAACTGCACGGTAATAATATGAGTTAAATTGCACTTACATATTAGCCTAATTATTATGGCAGACACAAAATTAGTGATCAATGCAAATTTGATTGGTAAATGTTGCAATAATTGATATCTCAGCCTCTGGTGTCCTGCATGATACCATTTAATATTTTAATGGTTCGATATATCATGGGGGCAATGGGTAAAGGTGATCAAAAGGTGCAAACTAAAAATTGTAAAATAAGTAACTTCTGGGGATGTAATATACAGCATGGTGATTATAGTTAATAATACTGCAGAGTGTATTTGAAAAGTTCTCTTAAAGAAAGTTTTCATAAAGAAAATTAATTTATAACTATGTGAGGTGTTGATAGTAACTAAACTTATTGTGGCAATTATTTTGCAATATATATGCATATCAAATCATTATGTTGTACACCTTAAACTAATACAATGATATATGTCAATCATATCTCAAGAAAACTAAAATTTTTTAAAAAAATTAAAAATAAAATAAAAAATATATTGCATGGGAATATACCGGTGGAATATATCATTCCTAACAGTTTTATATACGATATTTCTTCAGTTCTAAAAAACACTTTGGTCCCACATTTTAACATCCTCTGAAACTGGGGTATGTCTTATTAAGAAAATAGCCATTGGCCCTGACCGGTTTGGCTCAGTGGATGGAGCGTCGGCCTGCGGACTCAAGGGTCCCAGGTTCGATTCCGGTTGGGGGCATGTACCTTGGTTGTGGGCACATCCCTAGTGGGGAGTGTGCAGGAGGCAGCTTTTGATGTTTCTCTCTCATCGATGTTTCCGACTCTCTGTCCCTCTCCTTTCCTCTGTGAAAAATCAATAAAATATATATTTTAAAAAAAGAAAATAGCCATTGGCCAGGTGGCAGTCATGACATAGTTGGCATTGCCTCTGTATTTGTGCACATGGTCATCACTATTGGAAGTGCCATCATGTCACTGAGTTCAAAGCAATTTAGTGCTATCTCTGTAAGATCCATATGTTCTGAGAAATGCAGTCAAAGGCAGCAGAAATCGCCAGATATGTCATATTAGATCCAAGAAATTCCAAAGCAACAAGAGGCTGATATAACCAATTCATGTATCATACAGGACTATGGTGAAAGGGTTGAAACTTCCTTCTGGCCATTAATAGAGAATGTGCATAGCTTGTAGTGACATGACTCAGTTGAACAAGAAAACTATGCTTTCAGTCAAATAACATAGTGCCAGCCTCAAATTTGCAGTGTCAGTGACTGGGAAGCAAATCCCAGAGACAAGACTGGAACACTCTTTTAAGAAATGGTGCACTATTAATGGACAGTGTGCTGAAAAACACACAGACTGATGCCCTGGGTAAAAAGGGACTCAGAGGAATTAGACTCACTGTACAGAATTTTTATAAATACTTTAATTTATGTTGCTTATATTTTTCTTTTCTATATATGCAATTATTGAAAAATCTATGTTTAGGTCTAAAATCGCTCTTTCGCCTGGCCGGCATGGCTGTGGTTGAGCATCAGCCTTTGAACAAGGAGGTCACGGTTCCATTCCCAGTCAGGGCACATGCCCGGGTTGCGGGCTTGATCTCCAGTGTAGGGTGTGCAGGAGGCAGCCAATCAATATTCTCTCATCATTGATATTTGTATGTCTCTCTCCCTCTCTGAAATCAATACAAATGCATCTTTATTAAAAAAATAAAATAAAATGTGTTAGTATGGAAAATATCCTATATTAAAAATTGGGCATGCTTTAGTATGTAATCAACCATATTTCTTCCAAACAACGTTTGGTAAATTTCTTTCTAAAAATTTTTTTCTTATAAAATTTCTGATGCCACTTCTTCTAGTTTACAAAACAATCTCAGATTAAAGTAATATATATATTCAATGTACAGCATTTGATAAGTACAAAACAAGTACAAAGAAGGAAGAAAAACATCATGCTCTCACTACCCAGAGATGTCCTCTTAACATTTTTGGCCACTGCATTCAACGTATCTAGGGCAAAAACAAGCAATCTAGCTTCCCCACAGTGGATGCTCACTACATCCCTGGTGAATGCATGAATGCTGAAAGAGAACTGGGAGAAATGCCCATCTGTCTTGCTAATAGAATTAATTATACAGTTCTTATGGTGTAAAAATCATTTGTCTTCTTAAGTTTGCTCTATTCTTCCCATATCGCAGGGGGTTGGCCAGGATACAGCCAACTTTCTATTATTTGGCCACGGAGCAACCTGGAAGGGATGGTTACTGTCCTCACTTCACTTCTCATTCATTCAATAAATATTTATTAAGTGCCTGCTATGTGCCTGGAATACAAAAGAGCAATACATAAGCATGACCCCTGCCCTCTAACAGCATCATACGATCTAAAGACAAAACAGATAAAAACATAAAAATATGTATATATGTATGTCTACATATGAGCAAACTGTGATAAGTCTATAAAAAGGAAGAGAACAGATGGCTGGGAAAATAAATAAGGGGGGCCATGATCTGATTCAGGGCGGGGGTCAGGGGAGGCCTCTGATGGAGTGACAAGACAGAGGAACAAAAGGGAAGGTTCTCTGGGGCTGTAAAACTGTAAGCGGGTGTGGACTAAGATTCGTGAAGGAAAAAGTGATGGGGAAAGAGGCAGGCACATGATGCAGGGTCTTCCTAAGCCAGAGAGAGGATTTTGACTTTTATTCCATGCATGCTTGGAAACCAATACTCCCCCCACCTAATTTAAATTGCGTTTATTCTTAATAGATAACATCCACGATTCAAAGCACACCAGATTCAAAGATTTTTGAATGAAAACTCTCCCTCCCTAGTTTGGTAGCCACACAGTTCTCTCCCAAGCGGCCTGCGTGTATGCCCCCAGAAATACGCTAGGCACAAACAAGCGACTCTATGAGTCTATATTATCAAATATTTCAAGCAGGAGAGCGAGGCCATCGCATTGTTAAGACCACCGGAACACTGAGAGGGGACCGGCTTTCTGCGTTCGGAGCTACGCCCTGCAGCTCGCCCATTTCACAAACCCTACTCCGCCGGGCATTCTCGGTTTCTAGGCAGGAGATCCCCCGGGGCCCAGGGCTCCGTACATTGCATCTCAGCAGGGATCCCCCGCTCGTTCCCACGCTGTGCT